TTAACATCTGAGCCCCAGAGAAATGAAACTGTTTAGCTGAAAGCGTAATAACACGGATATTTATGAGTGGCTGACGAGACCCAAAGAGAACTGATTGAGTGACAGCTGTCATAGGGAACGCACCAGAATGAACCCATCCGAAAGTTTGAAACAGGATTTTGAATAACATCGCTCCCTCGCCAGACTCAGTTTCAAACGTATCTTCCATATCCACTGCGTTCTGCATGCATTTAGAGTTATTTTGTCTGGGTGACTTATAGGTTGCTTGTTTACTCCACAGAAACAGCTAGACAAAGGGCAAAATATTACCGAAGCATGGATAACATTTGGCCCCAGAACCTCAAATAACTCATTTACAAGAGGAAAGAAGAAATCAGGAGTTCGCAGTACAGACAAAAAGTGGAGAAAATGAAAAGAGCAAAATACCCCTGGAAAATGATCTCCGGAAACAGCTAAAATTGTAATACAAAGATTGGTTTAAAAAAAATCTTTCTTGTATAAAGCAAAGTATCTATCTTTCTGTCTATTATATAGATCAGGGAAATCTACAATGCATCTGATGGATTAAGTAGCAAGGGAAACTTTAATTTAGGAATGGGAAAAATTAATTTAGAAAAAGTGAATAATTTACAGAGCAATATATATCTCCCTGCGTAGAAATAAACCTCTCTCTCTCACGCACACACACACACACACACACTTTCTCTCTCTCTCCCCCTCTCTCTAACTCAAATATGGCTGAGTTGCGAAAATACTTTTCCACGCAGGGAGACAATATATAGCCAAAGAGACAAACAAACAGAAAAGGGTGACATTTGCCAGAAAACTGCTAATACCATTACCCTACCGGCGGCTGGCTGTTTGTAAGGAAATACTAGTATTTCACTAAAGTCCCAAAATGTTTGGCTTGGTACTTTGCCCATCAAAATAAATCATAAGGACAGCTTAGGAAGTACATAAAAGTATATCTCTGGATAATGATATAGGAGACCACAATAAATATAAGTTACACGTTCGAGGTGCTGTCAGTTATGGTGGCCAACCCGTAACTCACTCACTTAACCCTGGCTGTATGTTTGTCTTTTAATTACAATTAACAGGGCAGACGAACGTTTTCAAACTCTGGGAGGGATGGACGCAGGACACGAGAGGCTGTAAAGACATGGGTTGTTCTGTTGACTGGAGAAGCCTGGCAGCGAAACTAAGCCATCTCTGGGTACGAGCCTTCGGGCAAAAGTGGGGAAATCTGTCTCTGTACACGGGAAAAGTTTGCACAAAACTGAAACCACTTCGTTTGAGGGCCGAAGGCCCTTGTTTGGGAGGGGGGGCGGTGAGTTATCTTCCCAAACATCTCTGGAGCGGTAGGTTGTTAGCAGGCAGTACAGGAAACTAAGTTCCACAGCTGTTTGAACTACAAGTAAGAGGGGACGCTTCCCAGAGCCTGTACACAAGGGCTTTCCACCGTCTTTTTATAGCTTTTTTTTAACAAAACTACATGTTTTGTTAGTCTTTAAAGTGCCACCAGATTATTTGTTGTTTTTTAAAGTTTATTCTGTACAGACTAACTCGGCTACCCCCTGAAGCTCCCATTAGAATGCTAGTCCCCAAAAATCCAGCTGTCAGGGGCAAACCAAAAAACAACACTCAACTCAACAAACGCCGACCGAAAGCAAACTGGACTAAAGAAGAGAATGAGTGAAAATGGACTGACCTGAGCTGTTAATTGGATCCTCGAGAAACATGTGTGGCCGATGCTGGTACTTTCATAGCCCCGCCGGGGAAGTGGAGGGAATATCCAGGCATCAAACAATGGCTGAGAGGAGGAGTGAACCCCTACATGAGGCCATATGTCGCCGAGGTAAATCGGGACCCCAGGAAGGAGCATCTCATCTTCGACCACGGAATGATGGGACATGGGGGGCTTGAACTCTATGGGACATCTCTGGACCATTGTGCGCGCCTCAGCAGAATAAACTATGATCCTCCCTCCCCCCACACACGCACACAAATTGTCTCGCTCGATGGCATTTACCGCCTGGTTTTAATCGTCACTTTGCAAAAAGTTCCCTATTTTTTTAAGTGCAAAGGCACTTGGCGTGGGACACTACTGCGGCCATGGAGTAGGAGCCGGCTGGGGAATACGCCGAGGGAAGCGAGAGGAGAGAAGTGGCCGTAACTTCACCCTTCTCCCTTTTCTCCTGGTGAGAACACAATGCGATAACACGCCTTGAATCTGCCCCATCTCTCCCCCATTCCTATGGTAAAATCTACAAAGACGCGAGCAGTGAACGGTGCCTCTAAATCTATGTAGGGAGACACAGAAGGTACACGTTGTGAGACCTACCCGGGTCAGGGGGGCTGAGAGGTCACCCTGCCTGGCTAGAATAAAGCTGATGGGATAGAAAAGTTGTCCTTTCCGTGAACCCGGTATTGCCATTTACCCGAACTTCAATAAAGTATCGTTCAGGCTATCAACATGGAGGCGTCAGGAGGCTAAAAAGAGACTATGGGGCAGGCTGCTTGTAGAGAGGGACAATCATTTTTTTCCCTTCCCCCTGCTGCCTGGCTATATAATGCATTCATAATCTCCCTCCATGCCAGGAATTGTGTCATGGCCAAGTCTAAAAGGCTAAGTAAGATGCTAAATAATACTCAGCATCAAGCGGAGAAGAGGTGAGAAAGCTAAGTTAGTCTCAAAGAGCTGGAACAGAAAAGTAACCTACAAGTGACTTTATTTCATTCTATGAATTATTATTAGTAGTAGCAGTAGTATTAATTATTTCATATGCAGGCCATACAGTAGAGAACGTGATTCATGTTTGTTTTGCTTCCTCATCGGACACACACAGAGAACACACAACAACAACAACAACAACAACAAAAGTCGCCTCGCATTCAATGCCAAAACCCACATCAAACAAAAAAAAACACCCACCCTTGATTATATTTCAGCAAGTTATGATGCACTTTGCAAAAAGGGGCGAGGGGAAAGTAGATCAAACTTTGAACAGTAATATTCCCACCTACTCCACCCCAACCCCCCACTAGGTTTGGTCTGCAGTACTAGCACAAGTGGGTTTCCACTGAGAGCGAGAGAGAGCTTGCCTATGAGTTCCCAGTTCAACTTTGTAGCAGCACCATTCATTATTGCAAGGTTAGCACTTTGTAGCTTTTCCTGTCTTTACACTATATATATATATATATATACACGGTGGAAAAAGTCTGAAGACACTGCCTCTAACCCCTAGTAAAGGGAATAAAGGGGCTCTTTTTCCATGAACTAAAGAGCCCTGGGAGAATGCTTTGTTACAGATTATGGAGCTATTTCACTTTCTTTTATATAGTTGTTTTTACTGGTAAAATGTGTGTGAATGTCTGTTTCAGGCAAAGCATGATAGGAAGAGGAAAAAAATACACCACACTTATAATACATAGCTCTGCTTGGAGGGGAAAATGTTTACAGATAAACCGGGTGTCTGTTTACTACGGGAACATTTGTCTCCCATTACATGAATGTGGCTAAACAGGAGTGGAAAAAGCTGGTGGACTTTACATGTACAAGTTCTATGATAAACAACAAACATCAGCTATATCCCCCTTTCAGGATCTCTCACAATAGACTCTGAGGCTATTACTGGCTTAAGAGAGGGCTATACAGGTTTGGGGGAGAAAATAAATAAATACAGACCATGAGAAACAAATGAAATAAAAAGAAAGGTGGCGGAAAGATTCCCTTCCTCTAAGCCCTTTCATTCAGATGGAATAATCTTTCTTCTGGGGAGGGTTACAGAGACCTGGCCAACTAGGCTAATGCAAGGCATTGGGAGAGTGTTAAATGCTTGAAGAATAAATGTTTTTATTCAGGCCTGCCTGGGAATCTGACCTCCCTCCCCCATGTTATTTCAGACTGGGACAGTAGTTCTGCAAAGTGGCGAGCGACTGGGGCCTAGAAACCGGCGGTGGATGCACACACAACTCTTGCTGTTATCTCATCCTTCCAGGAAAGTAAACAAACATTCAATTTGGGGGACAAATTTCTTGCTAAACTTTCCACACCACTCTGCATTTCAGAACCCAAGAGCAATCCTGCCTTTTTGCCAAACCTTTCCCAGCCTTTGGAAGAAGATTAAAAGTAACCTATTACCTTTTATGAATGAACGGCTTCACATAATCTGGCAACAACAACAAAAACAACAACAGAAGTATAGAGAAAGAAAAAAAATCAGAAGACCCTTATATTAGGGAGGGGGGAACCAAGCACGGATGAATGATATTCTAACCCACATATATCAATGCTCCTTTCTCAGAACTAAATTCCCCCTCCCCCCCCTCCAGTACACGTTTGACTGGGAGAATCTGAGATTGAAACACAGTGACCAAGTTGTGATGTCATAAAATTTAGAGTACAGAGTTAATTTTACATATTTGTTTAGACTAAATTGAAGCAGTACCTCGTGCACATGGAATTAAGATTACAATCCTAGGATTATTATTAGATTTTTCAGAGCAAGGGGAATGTTGACAGTAAAATAAACCACCAGAGATTAAAGTAAAACTAATTCACACTCACTGGTTTATTGAACACTGGGACTTTCACATACACACTAAAACTCTTTATTGCAAGTTTACAATGATCATGTAAAATCAGTCCAAGAACACAAAGAACCACGACAAAAAAAAAAAAAAAAAAAAAAAAAAACAACCCTAGCTACTGACTTTGTTTAAACCTTGCTCTTTTTTTAAAATATGCCACGATCCTTCCTTTTTCTGCCCCCCTTCTCCAATTTTAAACGAACAACTCGCCCCACCTGGTTGGTGTGATTTTTTTTAGCCTTTTTCACATTTATACAAAAGAATTTCAGAGCTCCATTTTATTTTCGCTGGAGCATTGTGCATGTGTCATGCAGAGGGCAAATAACTACATTCTCCTTTTTTTTCTGATTATTCTTTAAATTCGTCTCACAGAACATTGGCCTCTCTGCTCCCCCCCCCCCTAAATAAAACCCTGAAATGGCGTAAAAAACCCGCAGGTACTCGGTCACCTGGCTTCATGCTATGTAACATGCAGCTAAAGCTTGTGGTCATAAGGAAGACCTTACTGTTTTTTTGTTTTTTGTTTTATACGCACAGGAAAACTACAAGAAAAGAACCAAAATATATATATATATATTAGATTCTATAAATAATCAGAGTCAATTTTTGTGTGTGGGAGAGTGATATTGTTTATAACCTTGTGATATCGTCTGCTCGTTGATCCTGGTTTGTACCCGGCGACAGGTCCTCGCTGGGAACTGCGTTAGCAGCAGAAATGGTTCCCGCGGAGGAATTAGAAGGAGCTGAGGATCTGACTTTGGTATTGGGCAGCCTGTGGTCTTTTTTCCATTTCATCCGCCTGTTCTGAAACCAGATTTTGATCTGCCGCTCCGAGAGGCACAAGGAATGGGCGATTTCGATGCGCCTTCGCCGGGTCAGGTACCTGTTATAGTGAAATTCCTTTTCCAACTCCAAGACCTGCTGCCGGGTGTACGCAGTCCTGGAACGCTTGGGCTCCCCTCCATTGTAATTCGGATTCACTGGAAAAGCAAAGATGAGCATGAATAGAGAGAGAGAGAGAGAAGCAGACAGAACAGAGAGGGAGAGGGGGAGAGAGAGACACACACACACACACAAGAAATCTGGAGTGGCTCAGGAAAAAGTAATCAGCTAAATGGGTTATAAAGAACTTCTGGCAGCCTAAGACTTTCTATTCTAATAAGAAGGGGTTTCCCTGGCTCCAAAGACTGAATTATTTATGCACCCCTCACAAAGCCTTCGGAGTTTCACACATACATAACAGAATGAACCACATGGCTAAGACTGCCCAGACTAGGTTGGCTATAAAATTTATGGTGGGTGTAATTACCCATTCCGAGTCGTAAATCCAGCTCAATTGTGCTAACCCAAAGACTCTCATGGAAGGGAAGGAAATAAAAAAAAAGCGAGTGAGAGCGAGCGAGAGCATGGTGTGAAAAGAGGAAGGAAGACAGAGCAGAGGGAGAGGAGAGAAAAAAAAAGTTGCCTACCCGTACTGACGTGGATTTTTTTCATCCATGGATAGACTATAGGTTGCTTAGAAGCTGTGTTGTTAGGATGCTCGGGGTTTGGCTGGTTGCAGGCTGGAGGGGCTGGGGAAGGAGAGGTGGAGGAACTGGAAAGAGCAGTTTGCTCACAGAGCTGCTGCGGCTTTTCTGGGAGGTGGTGGCCTCTTTGCGTTTGCCCATGGCCCCTTTGGTGCGCGGCTGGGTTGCCTGGAGCTTGTATATTGGCACAGCTGTACTGGCGCTCTGGGTAGTTTGCTCTTGGTGGTGGGTACAAGTCCTGATGGTGATGCTGAAAGCTGGACTCCCTTGTCCGGCTGTAATATTCCGGACTGTGGTCTGGGATGTAATTATTTTGCGAATATTCCTCGCATGGAGGAAATTTCGGATCGATGTAGTTAGAGTCCATCAAATAGGAGCTCATGATCATTAATTTCTGGAGTGGAAAATAATTTTTCTCGCTTTGTCGTTTTTCTGCTCCATAAAGCCCTCCTACAAGCGGGCGACCCCGTAAAGTTACTTTCACCATGTGACTCCCGCGGCCAATCACACCAGCCAGGCGAGTCCCCGGATAAGGAACCAAAAGCTTTTTCAAAATGTATCCAATTTGTGCGTGTGCGTGTGCGTGTGTGTGTGTGTGTGTGTGTGTGTGTGTGTGCATTGTTGTTGTTTGCTGTTTGTGTGTTCTCACAACTGGGAGCAAAGAAATCAGGATGGTGAGCAGAACCAACCAACCCCCTTCCCAATAAAATAATAAAATCCTACCGGTTTTTGTAAAGGGGGAGATGCCTGTGGAGAATATTGTTCATGTTACACCCACCCCCACCACACACACACACACACACACACACACACACACACACACACACACCGTAGGCTGGATGTTAGGCATCTGCCGTAGAATTTCCACCCCCACTCCACGATCTCGCAGTAGTAGAACAAGCCCTAAATGGGAAGATCAGCTATCACAGATGCCCAGAATATGTGGCATTTTTCACTTTAAATACATTCTGGAGTACAGAACTGCCCCCACTCCTAAAGAACATAAGGCAGGTTAAGTGCCCTTGTCAGTAAATCTGCCCCCCCCCCCATCAAGGAATATTGTACACATATATCAATGGGTGGGGGTGGGGGGTGGAAGAGAACCAGTTACCTGAGAGCTAAAAGGGAACATGCAAATCATGGCTGAGTAATTTAAGAGTTCTCTGGACGCTCTCAACCTTTGCTCAAGCGATACCTCATTTCCTTGAACACGGATAGGATCTATTTGTGTATTAAAGAGCATAGTTACGCCGCCTTGATTCCCACTCAGAAGCCAGGAGTGCTCTTGGAGAGACAGCCCATTGCTTTGCTTTGCAAAACTACTTGGTGTGTTTTTATTCCTACTGGCTTTTGCAGGGTGAGTAGGCTTTGGGTTCGCCCTTCAGAATTCTGCCCGTCCCAAAGTTCCATGGGCATGAAGAGAAAGAAAGAAAGAAAGAAAGATGGTTCATAGCTCCACAACCAAGCAGAGAATTAGTTTCCTTTGCAACCTCCATTCAAAAGACCCATTTAACTAGCTGTTTTAAGGGTGTGTGTGTGTTGGGGGGGGGAGACTGAGATATCTGTAACCTATATTTTAAAAGGCTCCCCGCCCCAGATGGCAGGATAAACAGATGCCCTGTGCAGGTACAAAACCTGGAAACCGATGGCAAATATTTTGGAGAGAGCAGTTGTTGCAATTAAGGGTTTTATCTATGGCTTGCACTAGGCAGAGGGGCAGAGGGAGTCGGATTAATCCCTTGTACTGCTTGATAACAATTATAGCTGAAAATCATAGCTTGCAGGGCATCGCCATATTTTACTTGATAACAATAAAAGTGACACATAAAGTTAACTGTTTATGTTTTATTTATTAGACTAAACGTGCCAGCGGTGTCGGCGGCTTTTGGCTCATTGCTACAGCTTTTATGGGGTTGTAAAACGCCATAAATCAGTCACATGAAATGGTTGGGGCTTTTTTTGTGTGTGCTGTTGGCGGAGACTTCTGCTGTTTCTTCTTTTATATGAAAAGTAATAATGTGATTTTATTATTATTATGATCCTCATCCCCAATCATCATTATTATTCAGCCTACCTCTAACAAGCCACCCCCACGCCTGCCCTGGCAGAGGCAAAAGCTGTTTTGCACTTGAGTAACTACCTTTTAAAATGACATAACCAGTATTTGAGGATTTAATTAGAACAGCTGCAATTAAGGGAATCAAAGGAGAAAGCAGAACTTTACAAGGCTCTGGCATCGTCCATATACTCCCCTAGAGACGAATTTGTGACTCAGATATTCACACAAATTCGATTCTACAGGGTCCATATAGACGACTGTGTAATTTGGCACGTGTGGGGTTGAGGTTTGAGGGGGTGGGTGATGCTTGGAAATAATGCTCTCTGGCTGGAGGAAAGTTGGAAAGCAGGCAAAGACCACTCACTAAGCATGTTGCTTCAGACGTTTACAGCTGTGTCTTGCATTGCATATGTGTGATTGAACGTCCTGCCTCGCACAAAGACTCAGACCCCTATGTCTCTTGGCACGGTTGCACGTGGAAACTCATTTTTTGTGTGTGTGTTATTACCTAGCATGTAGGGTTTTTATTGGCATGGCTTTCCCATGGCCTAATTGCTCACCCAGTGGATTTACCTACTTTATTAAAGTTAGAGGTGTCCCATCAAGTAGAACGATCTCTACAGAAAAGTGGCGAGGGGAAAGAGGGGGAAAATCATGCCAAAGACATTAGTGGAAATGGATTCTGGTATCCAAAACATGGATTCCAATTTATCCAGTAAATTCCTTTTCACTGGCGATATCTCAGGCTCTCCAAAACCCTGGACTCGTGCTGGATTCTGACCTTTATTGTTCATACTGATGCAAAAACTTTACTCCAAGGCTACGGGGATATTGACTAAAAATGTAGAGTTAATAAAGTAATTTTAGCTAGGCATGTCTTTTTAAATACATGAATCCCGGTAAGCCCCAAATGAGAGGGATAAAAATACCTACAGGTAGTTCTCTACGAAAATATTAGGTGATTATCCTAAACAACAACTAAAGAGTTCAAAAAAATCCAAGGCGGGAAGGTCACCCAAACCAATTTCTACCACCGAGTTAAAGACCTACAGTTCTAAGGCTTAAAAAAGCTTTTGGCTCATTGTTCCAGATGGCCAAGGGAGAACTGCAATTTTATTTCAATGACTTGCTATTCTTGTAGCCTTTGGACTTAATTGCAGATATTTAAAAGAATGATAATTTTTTATTTAAAAGGAGGGCCTGGCCTTTTTGCCTTGTCTATCTAAATTCATTTCCCCCTTTTATTTTGGTTTCCTGTACATTATTTCTAAACAATCCACAAAAATATCCCCCTTTCCATACACAGTTTTCTTTCTTTCTTTCTTTCTTTCTTTCTTTCTTTCTTTCTTTCTTTCTTTCTTTCTTTCTTTCTTTCTTTCTTTCTTTCTTTCTTTCTTTCTTTCTTTCTTTCTTTTGGAGTTTTTAGATGAACCTCCTGCTTTTAAGTGTTTGGCAGAATTTTTTTCTCCATAAAATAAGTCTGCAAGGACGTGTTAAGAATAGTTGTACAAGAATCTGGCTCTTTTGTCTATAACCCTCCCCTCCGACCCCTCTCTCTCTCTCTCTCTTTCGCCTCAAATTCCCCAGCCAACACAACAATGTCGACAAACAGTTTCGGACTGCCAACGCCAAGAGAAATATAGCCCCTCGAAAAAATAATTTCTGGTCTTTATTTCCTTCTCTACCCAGGAATCAGGTTGCAAAATATAGATCTGGTTACCATTTCGAGAACATTTTTGAGTACAAAGCGCCTTTCTGACAGTACTGAAGAAAAATAAGTCACTATTGTCTCTGCGGATTCATTGTCTTAGCTATTACCATACTGACCGTTTGGTAACCTGTACCTCAAGCCATTAGCAATCTGTGCATCTTAGAAAAATGAAGTATCTATCTACTGGGGTTTTGTTATGCAAGGTTTAATAATAATAATAAAACAGCAAACCGCACACTATGAACTATCTCTTCTTGAGATTCAGAGGAAGGAAATAAATTTGAGTAGAGTTTTATTTCAAGCATTTAAGGGTTTATTTTAAGGCGATTATTATACAATATGTTACATTAGTGTGTGTGCTGTGGGGGGAAGGCAGACAATTCCTTGCAGGAAAAAAATAGTTGCTTTTTCTGTGACATATGCAATGACATGCAATTAATTAAATTTTAATTTTTCTAACAACTTGAAAGCAGTAAGTGCAAAAAGACCTTTTTTTCTTTTTGTTCCTTCATAATGCAAATAGACAGGTCTAATTTATGCAAAGAAATATGCAAATGTTTAATTGATTTTTTCTTAACTCTGTTGTCAGTAAAAGTAATGAATCGGCCTAAAACGATTTTAATAACCCGAGCATGTCACCAGAAGTACTAGCCTTCGCATTTTTCTTTTTAGGCTCTTTAGTCT